GGAATGCTAGGGCTGTAAGGAATGCTGGCACAGAACATGTTTGTTGAGCAGCAGAGAATCATTCTACCTCCCCAATGCCCAGCAGCTCCATCTCAAAAAATGCCGAGTTTGAGTTCCATTAAATGGCCACCCTTTCCCTTTTTGGGGTTCAATGCTCCTTTATCAAGTAAGCAGCCCCAAAAAGCCCCTTGGTTTCTAAACGAAACAGGGTTTATATTCTGTTATTGGTGAGTGTATATAAGGTTCCCTTTTAATATTGGTGAGTGTATGTACCTGGTGTCCTTTTGGGGGTACAAGAAATACATAGCCTACTTCATATGGTTGCTGGGCTACCAAGTGGCCTAAGGTCTTATGCCTAGCCCAGCGCATGCAGCTTTTTGGCGTGCACTTCTGGCTCGGTCGCGGCTTGGTCGCAGCTTGTTATCTTTCAGACTTGTTGGTTTTGGGGGTTTAGGGTTTAGGGTTTGGGGTTTAGGGTTTAGGGTTTAGGGTTTGGGGTTTAGGGTTTAGGGTTTAGGGCCTAGCACTCCTGAGACAAGACATGTATGGAGCTTCGGGTATGCTACGGTATGTTCCTTAGTTCGTTAGCCTTATAAAGGCTTGGCTTCGGGCCTGAGGCCTCCGGGGTTCCTTGCGCCGTGTAAATCTCGCGCTTGCGCGTCTCATGTTTTTGAGCTCTTGAGCTCCACAAACCCCAAACCTGCCGGAGCATGAAGACTGTAACAACTTATGAAGCTGTCGAGGTGTGGGTGAGTTCCTGCATTCACGTATGTGGGAGGGGTGAGGGATTTGGGTTGGCTTTTTGTTATGTAGAGGGCTGGGTTCACGAATATTTCCTGCACGTTGTGAGGCGAAAGCTAGTTCTGCGGCGAGGTAAGTTTGCATGAGCAGGGCACCCAAACTCAATCATGAGAACTGCCCTCGCTTTTCGCTGCAGTAGTTTACCCCTACACCAGTCCAAGCCATACCAGTGATCACCTTCAATGTTGGGTGCTCCACCCAAAACACGGCAGCAGCCAAAAAAATCACGAACAACCATTCCCTTCTTAAACCTTATGCAACTTATGCACAAGATAGTCTGAACCAGCCAAAAATGCATGTCTAACCAACCCTTAACCTTAAGCCCACAGAGCGCTAGACCTTTTTTCCGAAACCCTAAACCCTAAACCCTAAACCCTAAACCCTAAACCACCCTTGCCAGGCCAGGTGGCATCCTTCCCGCCCGAGAAGGCAGCGCTACCCGAGGCCATCATGGACCTGCTCTAGGCTCTAGGGCCTTTAGGGCCTTCAGGGCTTTTAGGGTTTAGGGTTTAGGGTTTAGGGTTTAGGGTTTAGGGTTTAGGGTGTGTGTGTGTGTGTGTGTTTGTTTTTATCATTGGGGGCCGGGGGGTGGGGGGGGTGGGGGGGGGGGGGGGGGGGGGGGGAGGGTTATGCATGCCTGCCTCACAGAGCATTCCTCAGGTTTGTGCACATGTTACATGTTGTCGGGGTTTAGGGGTGGGTTTATTCGAGGTAGCTTTCATTCCTTAGCGTAATTCCTTGGCCCGTGGTAGGCAGGATAAACCTCATGGTAGATAGATCCCCAGGCAAGGACTGTTAAGGAGAATACCTTAGTTCACAACAAGACAAGTTACAACACTTACTATCATCGTCCCCCGTATAGAGTTATCCTCCTTTAACAGTGTCATTCCGACCATCCAAGAGTTGGAAGGCGCCAAGCACGAACTGCTCCATCAATCCGAAACAGCCGGATGGGGAGTGCCTTGGTCGAGCGCCGTTTAAAACTGCTTGGGTCTGGTTCTCTCTTTCCGATTTTGTTTTATATAGTCTCAAGTTCGCAGAAACTCAAACCCCACCCGCCACTCTGTTTACCTCCTAAACCCTAAACTAGGCGTTGCTTTCGGGCATTTTTCATTTTTTGTGGATTTGCGTGTTTTCGTATTGGGTTTTGAGGGAGTAGGTTAAAGTCAACATGACCTGATCTGTTGCAGACCGAAAATCGAGTATATCAGTATGTAGACCGGATTTGGACATGCAGTCCCGTGCTTGTCATGTCAGCATACTCACTCACAAACGTGTATTTAAACCATACTGAATACACAGGATACATCATTTCACTTGGTTCAGACCAAAAAGAAGTATATCAGTATGTAGACCGGGTTTGGACGTGAGATCAGCTTTGTGTGAGTAGGTTTTTTGCACAAGCCTCAGGCATGTAAGCTTGAAACAATCACCAGATTGCTGGCTCGTGGGTCTCCGACTGCAAGCTCTGAGGGCCTCAAAGAAGCCCTGCTGGGCAGCGCTTCCCTCAAATTTCCTAGGAGTTTTTGCACAAACTCTGAGGTAATTTTCAAGAGAAGCCCTGTTCCCTTAAAATCACCACGGAGCTTTTGCAAAAACACCGAAGTAATTTTCAAGAGAAGCCCTGCTGAGGAATGCTTCCCTTAACATTACCTGGGTGATTTTGTAAAACACCGAGGTAATTCTCAAGAGAAGCCCTGCTGCGGAGTGCTTACTTTAAAACTACCTCGGAGTTTTTGCAAAAACTCCGAGGTGATTTTAAAGAGAAGCCCTGCTGCAGAGTGCTTCCCTTAAATTACCTCGGAGTTCTTGCAAAAACTCCCAGGCGATTTTCAAGAGAAGCCCTGTTGCGGAGTGCTTACCTTAAAACTACCTCGGAGTTTTTGCAAAACTCCGAGGTAATTTTACAGAGAAGCGCTGCTGCGGAGTGCTTCCCTTAAATTGCCTTGGAGTTTTTGCAAAAACTCCGAGGTGATTTTCAAGAGAAGCTCTGCTGCGGAGTGCTTCCCTTAACATTTCCTTGGAGTTTTTGCAAAGACACCGAGGAAATCTTCAAGAGAAGCCCTGCTGCGGAGTGCTTCCCTTAAAATTACCTCGGCGTTTTTGCAAAAACACCCAGGTAATTGTAAGGGAAACCCTTCACAACAGGGCTTCTCTTCTGTTTTTGCAAAAACTCCGAGGTAATTTTAAGAGAAGCACTCCACAGCAGGGCTTCTCTTGCAAATGTCGTCGGTGTTTTGCAAACACGCCTAGGTAATTTTAAGAGAAGCACTCCGCACCAGGGCTTCTCTTGAAAATTTCCCCGATGTTTTTGCAAAAACTCCGAGGTAATTTTAAGAGAAGCACTCCGCACCAGGGCTTCTCTTGAAAATTACCTCGGTGTTTTTGCAAGCCGCCTAGGTAATTTTAAGAGAAGCACTCCGCAGCAGGGCTTCTCTTGAAAATTAGCCCGGTGTTTTTGCAAAAACGCTTAGGTAATTTTAAGAGAAGCACTCCGCAGCAGGGCTTCTCTTGAAAATTACCCCGGTGTTTTTGCAAAAAACGCCTAGGCAATTTTAAGGGAAGCACTCCGCAGCAGGGCTTCTCTTGAACATTACCTCGGTGTTTTTGCAAAACGCCTAGGTAAAAAGGCAATCCAAGATTTTTTTTGTCGGATTACCTAGGCGTTTTTGCAAAAACACCGAGGTAATCCTGAAAGGATGCTCTGCCTGTTTATCCCTCCTGAATATGGCTACAAGAGGCTGAGGTAATTCAGCAAAGATTCCTTCTCGGATTACCTCGGCGTTTTTCGCGGAGCATCGCGGAGCATCGCGGAGCATCGCGGTCGCGGAGCATCGCAGAGCATTGCAGAGCATCGTTAGGGTTTAGGGTGTATGGTTACGGTTCAGGGTTTAAGGTTTTGGGTTATGGGTTTTGAGTTTAGGGAGGCCTGTTGTGGTTCCCTCACTGCAGCTGGGCTTCGTCAGAACCTCAGGGTTCGGGTTTTGGTGGCAGCTCTGGGCTTGCGAGGCCTAAAAGCCGGAGACCCACAACCTCAAACAAGCCGAATGACACCTGGAAAGCCTGAGTTTGTGAAGACCCCTGAGACCCACCACTAAGGCAACATGAGCATGGAAGTTGTTGCCAGCTCCCGCTCCCCGCCTGCAAACCGGCAAATCGACCTGAAACCCTGAGAATCCTACGAAGCGCCAACACAATTCCTGGACTGACCGCCGAATCCCTGAACCCCCCCGAAAGAATAGAAGCAAAAGTCAAAGCTGAGTGCACCGACTCCGCATCTACCTCAGTGGACGCGAAGGCCCCGCCACACAAGCAAGGTTCTTTGGCCTCCTCAACCCCAAAACAGCTCCAGCCGAGAGCTCCATATTTCGCCGGGCCAACTGATGGTGATGATGCTCGAATTTATCACCCCTGACGCACCAGGGGACCCTTCTTGATATCAGGCGCGTGTGGGGGGGGGGGGGGGGGGTGGAACTGCATCAAGGAGAGCATAGTCAGCATCAGTTGCCCCCTTGCTGGGCGTCCGGGGCCATCAGGGCAAGCATTCGTCATCGGTGTTTGGTACGTGCACAATAAGAATGATTACTATTCCATTTCAGCATCCGCATTGTTACCACCGGTGTGAGAGGGGCATCATCAGCATGACTTTGGGCGTCCTGCGGCAAGCATCATCAAAATCTGCTGGCCCCTTCTGAGCGTTAGGGGACCATGAAGGCGAGCATCATCAGCATCAGTTGGAGACATTTCCTGTAAGGTCTGCGGAGAGCAACCAAAAAATGTCTTAAATTCCCAGCATGAGTATGAGTTCAATGCTCACCAGTATGAAGCATTATCGATGGCCACAGCGTTTCCTAGTATGTGTTTGCGACCCCTCAGTATGATTCTGGGTTTAGGGTTTAGGGTTTAGGGTTCAGGGTTTAGGGTTTAGGGTTTACTGGTTGCCTCGAAACGTATGTCATTTGAAACCCGAACAGAACTGAACTTGACAAGTCGCAGTCGTTGCAGCCCTGGCCAACGTCTCTCTTTCATGGGCAGTCCTTCCTGTGCTGTGATATGAGTGGAAAAAGTGTGGGCAGCAAACATTCTGTCTTAACTGTGTCATGTATGCATTGAAAGCCCAAGATGTACTAAAATTTTTCGACCCAGCCGAAAGCAACGCCTAGTAAACCCTTTATTGCTAGTGAGAGCACCTTGGCTCCATGGCAAAGCTGTCGTACCTCTTCCTGGGCTTGTGTTTTGCACTCTTCGCTGGGGTTCCAGAGTTGGGCTTCTTCGCTGTCCCGAAAAGCAAAAAGCCAGGCAGGACATTGTTTGAAGAGGACAAGGCCCTCTTGGAAGTAGATGGTCAGATTTCCAAGTCCATGCTGAAGACGGCTTGGAGGCGGCAAGTGCTGATACATCATCCTGACCGCGGTGGCAGCGAGGAGTCTTTTGTTCGACGATACCAAGCCTATGAGCGACTTCAGGTTTATGTCGAAGCGGCTGAAACGGGACAACTCCCTGGGCAACCTGGTCACGGTTACGAGTCAGAGGACTTTGGCATCGATGTCCGCGTGGAAAACATGCGCACGGCTAGAATGGAGGAGGAAGACCCACGGAAAGTGTACCATCATGATCTCAGGAAACCTTTGGCGGCTGTGCTTGCCAGACTTTCAAGCTGGGATGACTGGGAGATGGACGACCCATGGTGGATATGGCTCGCATCAGTTGGATTGAAATTTCATGACACGGCATACCTCTCCGATCGCTCAATGCAGAACCCGGAGCTGTGGTCCAGAACTTTCAGGACGATTCAACAGATGCATGCAGCCTATGAAGTGCGCGTGATCGACCTTGGCACAGTGACACTGAGCATAGATGGCGCCCAGCTCTCACTTCCAGCCAATCTAACAGCAATTTGCTATGGAGGACTGGGCGCGGAGTATCAGGAGCTTTGGAAATCTTTGGTTGAATATGACACGCGCAGAAAGGAGATGTACTTCAAATATTCTTTGCTGGCTCAAAGAGGCCTCGCTGGATTTGAGGATAAGCTTCCGCAGGGCCTCCCACAGTATTTTGACTCTGGCATTGGTTGGATAGACTACATGAACAATGCCTTAGTCTTCACTGATCCTGGCATCACGCTGCGCGTTGCAAGCGTTTTGAACGTCGAAGCTCCATTCAGACTCATTAGCGAAGCCAAGCTATGATCACATTGGGTCACGAATCAGGATTAGTTGGTGCTTTTGGGAGCAGAAGTCTCTCGCTTTAGGGATTCGGGCCTCAAGATTATAAGCGTTTAGGGAAAAGGGTTTTGTGCACCGGGAAATGCTGAAGTTCAACACCCTAAGCGCTAAACCCTGGGCTTCGCAGCTTAGTTCAATGACCCCATGCCCGGGAAGGTGACTCCTTCAACCTGCACCAACCTGCATAAACCCCAAGTCCTACACCCTACGGGCCTGGACTTCAGAATGCATGACCACCACCCTCAAGCCAGGAGCATTTTCACCCCTAGAGAGTTGAGGGTCTGGGCTATTTAGGTTGCTTCAAACCCGACATCAAGAAGCTCGCCGCGAGACCGCCTCCTTCTAACTCCCTCCTCGGGTTTAGGAGTTTCTAGCTCCCTCCTCGGGTTTAGGAGTTGAGGGTTTTAGGGTTTTAGGGTTTAGGGTTCAGGGCCTCCTAAACCCTAAACCCTAATTCCTAAACCCTAAACCCTAAACCCCCGGATTTTTTTCTTCCAGCCATGAAGCCGTTGCCAGACACCCTCAGGTATTGGATCTGCTGGAGTCCCAGCCGAGCTATTGCCCTGTCTTGGTAGCCCCGTGGTACCCTTTTTGGGTTTAGGGGTTCAGGGGTTTAGGGTCTAGGGTTTAGGGTTTAGGGTTTAGGGTTTAGGGTTTAGGGTTCAAGGTTCCCTGATAAAGTAACCAACGCAAAAAAGGGTGCCCTTATCATAACATGGCTACCGGGCTACCAAGCTGTGAGTTCGGGGTTAAGATTGGGGTGTTCCCCCTTCTACTAACAGGCCTCAGTAGGGATCCGACTACCGGGTACTATAATCCCACAGTCCTTAATAGGGATCCTACTAGAGGGTATGATAGTCCCTATTAAAGATATCCCAAGGTGAAGATGTTAGAAGGCTTTAAGATTGAAGGTTCCCCGGTTACATGACTTTTGCAGTTTCATGGTTCGGGGCTCCGAATTCCGGGTTCACTCTTTGCTGTTGCGTGTTCTTTGCGTGTGTGCTACCGGCCTCTGGCCTGTACAGTTTTTAGGGTTTAGGGTTTAGGGTTTAGGGTTTAGGGTTTAGGGTCAACTTGCAGAGTTTCCGAGTAGAGTCCTCGGGACAGAGGGTTGCAGCTGCTACTGCTCAGCAAGTCAATGCTTTTGAGGGCGTTGAGGGTGCTGAAGCTTTAAACCCTAAACTAAACCCTTAACCCTCAACCCTAAACCCTACACCCCTTCAAGGGGAGTCTAGTTGAGAAGTCAGCTAGCAACCCTAAGCCCGAAAATCCTCGACCTGATTCTGAAGCCGATGTCATGAACGAGACCCCCAAACCCTGCAGGCCCCAAGACACCAAAGTTCCCCACAGCCCCCCCTGTCCTGTCCCCAATGTAATCCCCCCAAATAGTAGGATTCCCTTATAAGAAGGACCCCAAATAAGGTACCCCTAATGTCGGCAACCCCCCATGTAATCAACCCAATACAGCGAAAGCAGCCCCTGGAGAGGTGTTGACCTCTTTGGTGTGCGCTTCGTCACTGCGGACAGCCAGCCCCAGCCCCCAAGTTTGAGTTGCAGTGCTGGGTTGTACCCCCAAACCCTAAGCCCCGAACCCAACCCCCTGAATCCACTAATCCTGCTGTAAGCCCTAAACCCTAGGCTTTTAGTCTAGAGGGTTGAAGCTGTAGGCTTCAGGGCTTCCGAGCTCAGGGTTGTCTACTTGCTGGCCGCAGGTTTTCGGCCCTACGCTCGGCCTGTCACGAAAGCCTAGAACCCTCAAGCCATGGGCCCCGGGCTCCCCCCCAACACCCAACAGGGTTTAGGGTTTAGGGTTGAGGGTTGAGGGTTTAGGGTTTAGGGTTTAGGGTTGAGGGTTGAGGGTTTAGGGTTCCCTGAAGCCCAAAACCTGAATCGGTGATGGTGTACCTGCATTGACCAACCTTAAACCCTAAATCCTAAGGAAAGTCCTGCAAGGAATCATGCTGAATCCCGATCCCAGGGTTTTGAATTCGTGGTTGTTCCGTGCCAAGACGACCCCCCCCCCGCCCCGACGTTTCGGGCTGAGGGTTTAGGTTTGGGGTTGGAGGCATGTTTTAGGTGACGGCGCCTCTACGCGCCCCTGCGTTTTTGCAGGTTTCAGGGTATTGTGGTGGGGGGGGTGGCTGGGGGGGGGGGGGGGGGGGGGGGGGGGGGGGGGGGGGGGGGATAAGAACGTCATTCATACTGCGTCCATGCCCAAAACACTGGTGTTTACGGCGTTTTCGCCTCTTTCTACAACATACTGCACAAGGATTTGGAACAAGAAAATCCATCACAAGCATCCATGCCTGTCGCGACCATGCCCAAAACACTTGCATTTACAGCGTTTTACGCCCAAAAGCACTGGTATTTACGGCGTTTTAACATACTGCACAAAGAAAGTGGAACAAGAAAATCTGTCACAGGCGTCCATGCCTTTCGCGACCATGCCCAAAACACTGGTATTTACAGCGTTTTGTGCCCAAAAAACTGGGCGTTACTGCGTTACCCTGCAAGCAAAAAACCTTCAACATAAGAACCCATGACCCGGCCTTCAATTCCCAAATTCTTTAAACTCAGCCTTCATCCTCCAACACTCTCTCTAAAAATCAAGTTTTGTTCTGCAGCCTCATCTAAAATCAGCTTAAAACCCAAGCGAAAACACAGTTAGGCCCAAAGTTTACTTCACCCTCTAGTGTTTCGCGCACCTGCCTCAACAACAAGCTTACTTCAAATTGAGCTCCCGCTTGGGTTTCGCGCGTATCCATGCAAAACACCTCAGTCTCAAATCACTAAAAACGCAGGGGCGCGTACAGGCGCTGTAACCATGTTTTACTACCTGGAGGTTCATGGGTAGATATAAAGTAGGGTTATAAGTTGGGTAGCTATACTTATAGCATTACTTAGGGCTTAGGATGCTTGTAACCCCAATTATAACTACCCATGAACCTCCAAGTATGGCTTCATAGGGTAGTATTCCACTATGGGTATGTTGTTATAGAACCTGACGGACTTACAGGCAGGTTTTGCGGTTGAGGGCTTAGGATCTAAGGTCCTAGAAACCCGGAAGCCCTAAACCCTAACCCTAAGCCCTATCCTTAAACCTGAACCCTCAGCCGGACTTAGATGCTTCCGCCCATTCTTGAGGCCTGGACAAAGCTTCTCGCGTGGCTTCCTGTTCACTGAGGAGACTGTTGAGAGGGTGGCTGCCTTGGGTTAAACACCCTCAACCATAGGGTTCAGGGTTTAGAGGGATTTAGGGTGTAGGTGTTAGGGTTTAGGGCTCAGAGCTTAAACCCTAAACCCCCAAACCCAACCACAGGACTTACGAGGTCGTATAGGAATGGTTGGGACGTGCTGAACTCGCGAAGCCAAGGCTCTGGAATATAAGGCCCCGAGATCACCCTAAGGGTCCATGTACCTGTATGAAGCAGGGTGTATATTACTGTTATTGGTGAGTGTATATAAGGTTTCTTTTTAATATTGGTGAGTGTATATACCGGGTGTCCTTTTGGGAGTACAAGACATATATACCCTACTTCATATAGGTAATACTTGGGCCTTAAAGTACCTCCGGTTCCAGGACTTTTGGGCCCAAGTATATAATTATGAGGTACATGGACCCTCAGGGGAAGTCCTTGTTTTCCTGGCTATTTATACCTCATGTGTTTCATGTATAAGCCAATGTTGGCAGTGAAACATGGTAACAACATCAATATTGAACAAGAGTAATAGTCTACCACTACAGCACAAATGCGCACAGCCTGCTCACCAGACGGTACCCAACCCTGGCTAACCCCGATATTGGGGTGTAGCCGTCAAACCCTCTCTAAGACACAATGGCTGGCTTGCTCAGGTTTACTGCTGCGAGGCGAAGGCGAACCTTGCGGGGCACTCGTTTTTCATCCTTAGAGGTTGTGGTTGGTATCCCCTTTAGGCTTTCGGGTTTAGGGCGTAGGTTTATAGGGTTTAGGGTTTAATTCGGAGTTTTGGGTTTCGGGTTCAAGGTAATGAAGAGCCCTAAGCCCCAAGTCCTTAAATCCACAAAGTCATGCGGCCAGTTTTCCAAAGCCATTCTCTGTGGACCCTAACACACAAGTTTCTGAGGGGCCATGTCAAAATTCAGGACCCGAAGGGGATGCTAATTTGTAGAAGCCGAAGTTTTCAACCCTACTTGCAGGTTCACGGGTAGTTCTAAGTGGGGCTATACGCACCCTATACAAGGTTATGACCCGTTGTAAGTTTAGTTACCCTACCTATAACCGCACTCTACCCATGAACCTCCAAGTAAGGCAAAGTGCTGCTTCTCCGCAGATCATGTGGCTTAGGGTTGTGGACTGGGAAGGGGGGGGGGGGGGGGGGGGGGGGGGCTCTTTAGAGTTGGGGGTATCACCAAAGCTCGTGGGGCGTGCCAGCGTGCGACCACAAGGGCTTCTCGACCTCCAAAGCACGTTGGAAAGTTCTTAGTTTAGCAGCAGGGTAAACGTACTTGTAGCAAACATCTAGGTATGTTCCCCAAAGCCCGAAACATGTTCATGAACTGTTTGAAGCCTAAACCCGCACCCAAACTCGAAGCCCTCAACTTTTGATAATATGCCGCAAGCCGAAAACTAGGTGCCTAGGTGCTTATGCTCTCTTACTGATTTTAAGAGAATCTTATTTAGGAACATTTTGTTCCAAGGGCTGTAGGAGTTTAAACCCTAAACCCCACACCCTTGAGGTTTGAGGTTTTAGGATTTAGGGGGTTAAGAGTAAGAGGGTCTTCTTTGAGAACATTCTGTTCAAAGGGCTGTAGGGGTTTAGGCTTTTAAACCCTAAACCCTAAACCCTAAACCCAAACCCTGAACCCTAAACCCAACTATGGTTCGCTAAACCCTTGGGGTCGCCCAGGTGCAGGTCGTGGTGAAGACGGTCAACCCTGCGAATCCCGCGGCTGGCCGGGTCTGGAACCCATTTTCTTCCCCTAT